CTCAAATGAACCACCTAACACCTGAAGAAACTAGAAAGAGAAACAACCCTAAGGTTAGCAGAAGAAAGGAAATAATAAAGAGCAGAAACAGATGAACTACAGACCAGAAAATAAAGGATCAACAAAATTAAGAGCTGGCTCTTTAAAAAGATAAACCTGACAGGTAGACTAAGGAAACAGAAGACTCAAAATTAGAAAGGGGAGACATTTCAATTGATACTGTGGAATTACACAGGATTGGAGAAGACTACCATGAACAGATATATGCCAAAAAAAAAAAAGAAAAGAAATAGATACATTTCTAGAAATATATAATGTACAAAGACTGAAATCAGGAATACCAAATCAGAACACACCAATAATAAGCAGAGATTGAATCAAGTGATCAAAACTTCCAATACAGAAAATTCCAGTACTAGATGTCTTCACTGGTGAATTTTACCAAACATTTAGAGGACTTAACACCAATCCTCAAACTCTTCCAAAATACTGAGGAGGGAAACACTTAAAAACTCATCCTATGAAGCCAGCATTACATGGACAGTGAGATGGGGTAAGAATACAAGAAAGCTATAGACCAACGCCCTTGATGACTACAGAAGCAAAAATTCTCAATAGATCAGCAAACCAAATTCAACACATTAAAAGATTATACATCATGACCAAGTGCAATTTAACCCTGGGAGTCAAGAAATATTCAACATATGCAAATCAATAAATGTAATATACCACATTAGTAAAATGAAAGATAAAGATCACACTATTACTCATCCTAGCAGAAAAAGCACAGTTGGGAGAGCATTAAACTGAAGATCACATGATCATTATGAGACAAAAAATATTTGAAAAATACATCCTCTCATGAAAAACCTTTTGACAGATTGGGTACAGAAGGAAATACCTCAACATAATAAAGACCACATGTGAACCCACAGTTAACATTACACAGGCATAACTTAAAGAGATTTTATGGATTCAGTTCCAGACCATGACCACACAGTGAATAATGATGCAATGAAGAGTTAGATGTATTTTTGGTTTCCCAGTGCATATTAAAAGTTATGCTTACATTACACTGTAGTACTAAGTGCAGTGGCATTAGGTCTATAAAATGTTACATACTTTAATTAAAAGACTTTCTTATGACAGTTAACTTCTATACGTTTATATCAGCTTTTGGCAAGTTATCATCTTTTTGTTGGTGGAGGGTCTTGCCTCATGGCTGACTGATATGGCTGCTGACTGATCAGGGTGGTAGTTGCTGAAGGCTGAGGAGGCTGTGGCAATTTCCCATAACACGTCAACATGTAGTCCACTGCATCAACAACTGACCCTTTCACGAGTTCTCTGCAGCACATGAGGCTGTCTGATAGCATTACCTGCACAACTTCTTTCAAGATGGGGTCAGTCTCTCCAAACACTGCCACTGCTTTATCAACTAAGTTTAATATTCTGAGTCCTGTGTTGTCAATTTCAACAATCTTCAGTAGATCCCATCTCAAGAAGCCATTTCCTTTGCTCATGCATAAGCAGCAGCTCCTGATCTTGTCACAGCTTTTATCATGAGATGCAGCAAGTCACTCACAACTTCAGACTCCACTCCTAATTTCTCTTGCAATCTCCACCACATCCACTGAACCATCCATGAGGGCTGGAATCAGCTTCTTCGAAACTCCTATTAGTGTTGGTATTTTGATCTCACCCCATGAATCACAAATGCTCAGAATGGGGAAAATCCTTTCCAGGTCTTCCATTTACGTGGCCCAGATCCATCAAAAAAGCCAGTATCTATGGCAGCTATCATCTTATGAAATGTATTTCTTGATAAGACTTGAAATATTAAATTTCTCTTTGATCCATGGGTTGCAGAATGGATGCTGTGTTTGTAGGCATGAAAACAACATCAACCTCCATCAGAGTTCTTGGGAGACAAGTGCACTGTCAGTGAGCTATACTACTTTTAAAGCAATTTATTTTTTATGGGTAGTAAATATTCAGTAAACCCTGTTGTTGACTGACAGGCTGTGATCGAGGCTCTGTTGTTCCATTCATGGAACACAGGCAGAGTACATGTCACATAATTCTTACAGGCCCAATAATAGTAAATAAGCACTGGCTTCAACTTAAAGGTAACCAGCTGCATTAGCCCTTAATGAGAAAGTCAGCCTATTCTTTGAAGCTTTGGCTTCTCCTCCCTAGGTATGAAAGTCCTCGATGGCATCTTCTTCCAATAGAAGGCTGTTTCATCTGCACTTAAAATCTGTTTAATGTAGCCACTTTCATTAGTGATCTAAGCTAGATCTTCTGGGTAACCAGCAGCCTCTAGAACAGAACTGGCTGCTGCACCTGCACTTTTCTGTTATGGAAATGACTTACTTTCTTAAACCTCAGAACCAACCTCTGCTAGCTTCAGACTTCTCCTCTGCAGCTTCTTCACGGCCCTCACTCAGCCTTCACAGAACTGTGGAGTTCGGGCCTTGCTCTGGGTCAGCTCTGGCCTAAGGGAGCACTGTGGCTGACGTGATCGTCAGGTCCAGACCCCTGAAGCTTTCTCCATATCAGCAGTAGGGCTGTTTCTTGTCATTTGTGTGTTCACTGGAGTAGCACTTGTAATTTCCTTTAAGAACTTTTCCTTTGCATTCACAACTTGGATAACTTTTTGGCACAAAAGGCTCAGCTTTCAGCCTGTTTCAGTTTTCAACACGTCTTCCTCACTAAGCATTTAATCATTTCTAGCTTTTGATTAAAAGTGAGAGGCATGTGACCCTTCTTTCACTTGAACACTTAAAAATTATTGAAGGATCATTACCTTGACTAATTTCAATACTGCTGTGTCTCAGGAAACAGGGAGACTTGCGTGGTGACTGCCAGACAACGGAGCACTAAGAACACCTACACTCATTCCTTCTGTCTGCAACCCTACACAGACATCGTTCCCGCTGCTCCAAACAATTACCACAGTAACATCAAAGGTCACTACGACTGATCACCATAATAAATATGATGATGAAAAATTTTGAAAATATTGGGAGAAACCAAAATGTGACAGAGACACACAAAGTGAGCAGATGTGCTGGGAAAGGGCTCTACACCGCATCGCCACGGGTCCTCCATCTGTAAAGAGCAGAGTGCCTGCAAAGCATAGTGAAGTGAAGTGCAATGAAACAGGTGTGCCTGTACTTACTGGAGAAAAACAAATTTCCTCTGCTATGGTCATAAACAGGACAAAGATGCCCACTCCTGCCACTCAGATTCAATATAGTTCTGGGATTATTATTTACAGCAAATGGACAAGACAAATAAACTACTTTCCAATTTACATGTCTTTTATTTAAGTAAAACTGTCTTTGGTAAGGATATGATTTTTTATATAGAAAATACTAGAGCCAACCAAAACACTTATGATTTCAGTCAAGTTGCAGTATGTAACATCAACATACAGAAATCATTTGCCTTCATTTATGCTAATGATGAAACATCTGAAAAAGAAGTAAAATTATCCCATTCACAATAGCATCAAAAATAATAAAATACTTAGGAAAAAATTTCACCAAGGAAGTGAGAGATCTGTACAATGAAAATTGTAAGATTTTTCAGAAAGAATTTTAAAACAAATGGAAAAATAGTCTATGTTCATGAATCAGAAGAATTCATAATGGTAAAATGTCCATACAACCCAAAGCCATCTACAGATTTAACCCAATCCCCATCAAAATACCAAAGGCATTCTACACAAAAACAGAACAATCCAAAATTTGTGGAACCAAAAACAACCCAAATAACCAAAGCAATCTTGAAAAAAAGAGTTGATTTCAAACTATACTATAAAGCCATACTGGTAAAGGCAGTATGGTACTGGCACAAAAATACATACAAAGACCAATGAAACAGAACAGACAGCCCTGAATTATATTAGCTAATATTCAACAAGGGAGCCAAGAACATCCATTGGGAAAGGATAGTCTCTTTCAGCAAAGGGTCTGGTGAAAACAAAATGCAAAAAAATGAAATCAGGCCCCTGTGTCTCACACTACTCACAAAAAATTGAAGTGGACCAATAAGCCTGATACCATAAAACTCAGAAGAAAACATAAAGAAGCTTCTCAGTATTGGTGTTGGCAATGACTTTTTGGACATGATTCCAAAAACAAATGACAAAAGCAAAAATCAACAAATGGGGCTATATAAAACTCAAAAGCTTCTTCTGCATACCTAAAGAAAAGAAAATGAAACAAACCTACAAAATGAGGAAAAATTTTTATAAGCCATGTATCTGACAAGGGATTAATATCCAAACTATATAAAGAATTCACACAACTTAATAATAAAAAAAAAACATTAAGAAATGAGCAGAAAAACTAGACATTTCCCAAAGAGGACATCAAAATGGCTAATAGACACATGGAAAGGTGCTCAGTATCAGTAATCATCAGGGAATGCACATCAGAACCTCAAAGAGATATCACCCCCTGCCTGTTAGAATGGCTGTTTTCAATAAGACAGACCAGGTGCTGGCGAGCAAGTGATGGAACAGGAACTCTTACACACTGTTGATGGGAATGTAAATTGCTCCAAAAACTATTGAAAACTATGGAGGTTCCTCAAAAAATTAAAAACAGATTTACCATATGATCCAGCAGTTCTTATGACTATATACTTAAAGGAAATGAAGACAGTATTTTGAAGAGATAGATGCACTTGCATGTTTACTGCAGCATTATTCACAATAGCCAAGATACGGTAACAACCAAAATGCCCAACAAAAGATGAATGGATAAAAAAGATACAGTGTATATACACAGTGGAGATAAATTATGCAGCCATGAGAAAGGATGTCCTGCATCTGGGACAGCATGGGGGACCTTCAGCACATTAGAAAGACACATACTGTATGATATTACTTAGATGTGCAATCTAAAAAAGCCTAACTAGAACGGAATAAAATGGTGGTTAATGGGGTGGAGTATAAGACTGATTAAAGAGTACAAGTTTGCAATGAGTAGAAGTAAATCAGAGATTTAATGCACAGTATAATGAATATAGACAATATTGTACCTTAATTATGAAATCTCGTGTCTTTACAATGACAACCATATCACAATATAGAAATGTATCAAAAAAATAGAGTGCAACTTAAAATTTCACAATGTTATAGCTGTCAAATCTATTGAATTAAAACAACACTTGTAATAAAGATGTTTCTTACAAGCTAAAAAAAAAAATCCATTGCGGTTCAGGGAAGTATTGGTACTATGTATTTATATAAACAGAACTTTAATATTTGAGTTGATGGTTCTGTTTTATGCCTTTATATATACTTATGCATTGGTTGTGCAGATAAAGATTTTCCTATGAGGGATATAAAATTTAGAAACCTATGTGATCGAGTCAAAACTTCTAGTAGTTAGCCTCCTGTGCCTTATATGTTATCCTTCTAGTCTCATCTGCAAACCCCCCATTTTAGGGGCCTCTACTACTCAAGCTACATCTGCAAACCCCCCATTTTAGGGGGCTCTACTACTCAAGCTAGTCAGTTTTCTCACGTAAACTGTAGGTTCCTATCGGCTGGCTTTTTTTCATTTTATCTTGTTGACCTGGAACTGTTCTCTCTTGAGGCATATATATTCTTCTTCTCTACAGTCCTGGCATCATTTCATCCTCTGGGAAGTTATCCCTGATTCATCATTCTCGTCTCTGCCATGCCCCACCTTCCTCTGGGCTCCCACATTGTTTGCTGTCATGACCCCATCTACCGCCTATTGGAATGAATGATTTAGATGTCTTCCACCTACCTGTCAGCATACCTTTCTTACTCAGCTTGGTATCCAGATAGGCATCTTACACACAGAAGATACTGGTATTTGAAATGCACTGTAATAAAGCTCCTGTACAACTGAAGTGGACAAATGACAGCATAATCCTCTGCTGCAAACTCTCAGACAAGGAAAGTGAAGCAGTATGGAATATTTCCTTCAGTTCTCAGCTGAGGGTATCAGAGGCTGGGATGGTATTTCCGTGTGAGCCCTAACTGAAGGATACGGTGAGTTTCATCACCATGTAACCAGCCTTCTCCTAACTAGGACTTGGAGCCACTACAACACAAATGAGGCTCACACAGTTTAATTACCTGAAATTTAAACACAGAGACAACACAAGTTTAAGAGGTAAAATGGTGGTTGAGACACAAAAAATATTTTCCATGTCACCAGAGCAGTGATCCCTTGGATCTATGGAAATCCTGTGAAATCAATGAAGATACAAACCTGCTTATCAGAAAACTGAAGTTTATATGCATTTTCAGGACATTCACATATATATCCCCAAACCTACAAGCATCAAATTAAGAACTCTGTAGAAAATTAATTCAGTAAGAGGCCTAAAAAGCTTAGTGCCCAGCCAGTCACTACAATTTATACTGACTAGATAAAGTCCTAGAATTCCATTTCAATCCCAGGGGAGGAATAAAAAGCAATCTCTTTAATATGTTTGCTGGGCTTAGATTCTGTGTAAGCACAAGGTAGGCAAATTATTTACTAAATACCATATAGTCTTATTGTTTCTCATTATGTTAACGTCCTATTTAGAAACACATTTTTTTGAGAGAACACATAAAGCCTTTAGTAACAGGCTGTTGAGGAAAATTTCATTGTTTCCTTAAAAAAGCTGCTTTATTGACATCAGTGGCAAATTTATAAAAAGTGAACGACTTGATTAAAAATCGATTTACATTATTAACATAATAACAATGCATGTGTACAGTTAACACTGCGCTCAGACTGGACACCGAAGTGAATGTCCAAGGGGTCTTCTAGGATTTAAGATTAAAGATCGTAATACCTTGAAATTAATAGCATGATTCCAAACAGGTGTTTAAAAACAAATGCATATGCTTTATACCTCCCTTTCTAGTCATTCCAAACCTCATTTACTTTCATTAACAATCTGCTTATACTTTAAAAAGCCCAGTTAATTGACTAAAATGAATGGGTATTTAAAAAAATTTTAATAGTGGATTTTAACAATACATTTAATACCCATCAATGTTTAAAATGTCAAAAAGCAAAACAAAATCCTCTTAAATATGTATAAATATTTAAATATAGAAAACTTCCATCAACAGTCAAAGTAAATTTAATGGCTGTATTGGAAATGAGAAATGGGTGATTCATACCAGGGGAAGATTTCAAAATATGACTTTTAAAGCAAACTGCCTATGGGATAGGAACATATTGTGATAATTTAAACCTGATTTTACTCAGACATATATAAAGAGCTATTTAAAAAATCACACCCACAAGTAAAAAAATTGGTAATTTGTTTACGAAGTGCAGTATTTCAGTACAGCAAACTCATCTCAAATAAAGAACAATGTGTGGCTTCTTAGCCTTTGAACTCCCCTGGTTTCCATTTAAATCGTTTAACATTTAGTTTTGATGCCTAACACAAGAAAAGCCTGTGTAATCAAGTTTGGGTCCTTCAACACCAGCTATTAATTAATTCCAACATAAAAGAGTATGAAACCTGGAAAGTAAATTCTCAGTGTCTGACTGATGAGGTACACATTATCTGAATAAAATTTATGACCTGGGAGCAGTCAGTAATCCCAACACAAAGTATTGCTTTGTAATGAACTCTGTATGGTTTGCATGTCCTTCAGTAACTGAAGATTTTTCCTGCTTTTTTCTCCAGGTCTCGGTTTGGCAAAGTCTTTCTTATTCGAGGTCCTTGCGATTCCAGAAGGATGGCTGCTGCTGTTCCCTTCTTCATCAACAGTCTTTTTGGTGGTTCTTAATTCTCTCTTTTGCTTCTCCAACTATACCAATTTACCAAGGCAAGGGAAAGTGTAATGAAAACATTCTTTTCAGACAACTGGTACTTTTAACTCTCATACTAACTAAAACACAAATAATATATTTCAATTTTATTTTTTTAGAGGCTTCAAAAATCTTCTACTAGTCACAACGCTCAGTGCTTAAAATATATGACATACAAACAAGAAAACACATCAATTCTGGTGCTGTATCAGAAGTTAAGGCAGTGTCGCAAAAGTAGAACAGGGTCAGAGAGAAACAAGGGAGTTTGGAGGGAGGATCGTCCTGGAGGAAGTGAAAGATCTCATACAGGAAAGAAGGACAGGAAACAAAGGGAGGAGAAATGCATTCCAGTACCTAGTCTGAGCAACTAGGCTTCCAGAGATGGGTGAAGAGATGTAGTGGTAATACAGTGATACCATCAAAAAGATTTTTAATTTTACTATTTCACTATTTTTATAATAATTTAAAGCAGAGAGCTTTACTTTTACTTCAGCTGCTAGCAAAAATAAACTGCTCCTGGCACACTGGTGATGTACAAGAAACAAATTAGATAATTACTTCTATAGGAATCATTTACTTGTATTTCTTCTTATAAAAACATGTACTGTAGAAGAGGGACTTAAGCTCAGGTTTTAGAGTTGAGAAGAACCACATTTGCCTTCTAGCTCTCCCACTGACCAGTGAGCTACCGTGTCCTTGAGCAAGTCACATAATTTCACTTTAGAATATGCCTATGTCCCAGGAAACAGCCCCCGTTTTTCCTCATCTATGAAATGAGATAATATACCCACCCCACAAGACTTCCATGAAGATTAAGATGACATATTAAAGTATTTAGCATTGTGCTTATTACAAGAGCAAATAGTTAGTAAATATCAGCCAGACCTCTCCCGCTCCCAGTCTTCTCCATTCTTGTCAGTGGTACCAATGTCCTCACCCTCCAATGGTATCAAGCAGCAAGTACCCTCAATCCACTTCACTCCAACTGCAGTCACTGATAACCTCTGCTAAGAAATAAGCTTACAGGGCCCAGCTGGCCTCTCAGCAGTGGCGCAGTGATCTCCCACAGCCATGACCATCATGTTTCTCTCCAGATGAAAACCCTGCAGTGACTTCTCACGACCCTCAATAGATAGTAAATAAATGGCCATTTTATTAATTTAATTAGTAACTAAACATAGTTTCTTTTACATATTTATATCTGATATTCCTTTAGAAACAATTTATAGGTGTTTTTTAAAACTTCAGTAAATTTAGAACTATTTAAATTCCTCACAGAAGTTAGTTTGTTCATGTAATATAGATAAGATTATTAAATACATTTAGTATTTAAAAGATGTACCTTAGATAATAAAATCTAATAGACAGGACACAATCCTTTTTCCTAGTCCATGTAACACCAATTATTAATAATTAATGAACTGAAGTAAGCGTCTACAGTGAAGAAATAATTCCTGCAGCTCCCTATCTATCCATGATATACTTATAATGTCATCAACTAATTTGAAAAAAAACCAGAAGGATGGCTGCTGCTGTTCCCTTCTTCATCAACAGTCTTTTTGGTGGTTCTTAATTCTCTCTTTTGCTTCTCCAACTATACCAATTTACCAAGGCAAGGGAAAGTGTAATGAAAACATTCTTTTCAGACAACTGGTACTTTTAACTCTCATACTAACTAAAACACAAATAATATATTTCAATTTTATTTTTTTAGAGGCTTCAAAAATCTTCTACTAGTCACAACGCTCAGTGCTTAAAATATATGACATACAAACAAGAAAACACATCAATTCTGGTGCTGTATCAGAAGTTAAGGCAGTGTCGCAAAAGTAGAACAGGGTCAGAGAGAAACAAGGGAGTTTGGAGGGAGGATCGTCCTGGAGGAAGTGAAAGATCTCATACAGGAAAGAAGGACAGGAAACAAAGGGAGGAGAAATGCATTCCAGTACCTAGTCTGAGCAACTAGGCTTCCAGAGATGGGTGAAGAGATGTAGTGGTAATACAGTGATACCATCAAAAAGATTTTTAATTTTACTATTTCACTATTTTTATAATAATTTAAAGCAGAGAGCTTTACTTTTACTTCAGCTGCTAGCAAAAATAAACTGCTCCTGGCACACTGGTGATGTACAAGAAACAAATTAGATAATTACTTCTATAGGAATCATTTACTTGTATTTCTTCTTATAAAAACATGTACTGTAGAAGAGGGACTTAAGCTCAGGTTTTAGAGTTGAGAAGAACCACATTTGCCTTCTAGCTCTCCCACTGACCAGTGAGCTACCGTGTCCTTGAGCAAGTCACATAATTTCACTTTAGAATATGCCTATGTCCCAGGAAACAGCCCCCGTTTTTCCTCATCTATGAAATGAGATAATATACCCACCCCACAAGACTTCCATGAAGATTAAGATGACATATTAAAGTATTTAGCATTGTGCTTATTACAAGAGCAAATAGTTAGTAAATATCAGCCAGACCTCTCCCGCTCCCAGTCTTCTCCATTCTTGTCAGTGGTACCAATGTCCTCACCCTCCAATGGTATCAAGCAGCAAGTACCCTCAATCCACTTCACTCCAACTGCAGTCACTGATAACCTCTGCTAAGAAATAAGCTTACAGGGCCCAGCTGGCCTCTCAGCAGTGGCGCAGTGATCTCCCACAGCCATGACCATCATGTTTCTCTCCAGATGAAAACCCTGCAGTGACTTCTCACGACCCTCAATAGATAGTAAATAAATGGCCATTTTATTAATTTAATTAGTAACTAAACATAGTTTCTTTTACATATTTATATCTGATATTCCTTTAGAAACAATTTATAGGTGTTTTTTAAAACTTCAGTAAATTTAGAACTATTTAAATTCCTCACAGAAGTTAGTTTGTTCATGTAATATAGATAAGATTATTAAATACATTTAGTATTTAAAAGATGTACCTTAGATAATAAAATCTAATAGACAGGACACAATCCTTTTTCCTAGTCCATGTAACACCAATTATTAATAATTAATGAACTGAAGTAAGCGTCTACAGTGAAGAAATAATTCCTGCAGCTCCCTATCTATCCATGATATACTTATAATGTCATCAACTAATTTGAAAAAAAAGGGTTTTTTTGTTTTGTTCTTATCTTTTAATCACTAGTAATAAGCGAAGGAAAAGTGAATTACCTGGGCTTGATATTTTCGAACTTTAGTTATTTGATTGGCTTTTGCCTCCATCCTTCCCACCAATGCCTCCAGTTCACACTCTAGCTTGTCTTTCAGTTCAACAGTTGGGGATTCTTGGATAAGCTTTGCAAGCTGCTGGTGGTCACTATAAAGAACAAAATTAGGGCTTGATTAAGTTTCTTGCATTTCATGTTAGATTCATTATCTCTCTCCTACTACATGTGACCACTGATCTGTGCATCAAAAAATGACTCATTTAAAAAATTTCCAAATTATTAGTAATAGTTTAAAAGTTCAAGATAGGTACTGGAGGCAAATGTAAACAGAGTTCTTAATTTCTAAGAGCTAATTATTTATATTTCTACCCTGCCTCTGGCTTTGGAGAAAGTAAAGTCTAGAGAAGGATCTTATTCTTCACAACATTTACAGCCTAACTTACCACTTAAGTTTAGCTAAACTCAATGTATATTCGTATTAATAAGCTCCTTAAAAAAGGAAGTTAAACTTAAATGTAAACCTTGGTCTTCAAAACATTTAACAGTACTAGAACAGGGAGAGATCTCATCCAGTTTTATTTGTTAAAGTCCTACTAATTTGCTCAGTGGTTGGTGCCAGTATTGTGTTCAACAAACATCTGTTGAACAAATAATGAAAGATTAATAAAGTCACCAAGACGTTACAATGAGGTTTTAAAACTAAATGTAATTAAAAAAACAAAAATGAAAACTCACAAGCTCATCTGCCCAAATTCATCTTGTAAAGTCTGTAAGACTTCTGACAGCTCTTCATTAATGCTGCTAGAGGAACGAGGCGTTACTGAGAGCTTCTTACTTTTACCACTTCGAGAAGATACTTGCTTTGCCAAAGGAACACTACTGACTACTCGATCGTTGCACAAGGCTTTACTGTGTTGCTTCATGAGATGCAAGACATGCTGCACATTGGCTACCACGGCATGGCTGGGACTGGTGGACTGAAGAAGAGTGAGAAATAATTTAAACCAAATTCTCTCCATCTGTTTTCTTTCTACTTCATAGCCTGGGTAAAAAGACCCTCCCTGCCAAAATAAAACCCTATGATATAAATTTTCTTGTTAGAGTAAGTCAATTCATATCCCATGAATAACCCTGACTGTCTTCAATCTGCCTCTTACTCTCCAACCTGCCATCATTTATTTGGTTTTGCATCCATCTATCTCTGTTAGCTACAGGAAGAACATCCCAATTGATCTCTCTGCTCCCAGTCTCTTAATTCCATAAATTATTCTCATCATGTTTTCTCCTATTTCTCCTTTGATGTAAACCCACCCACTCTAATATCCAAATGCTTTAGCATCTGTATCATGGAACTGCAACATACACTCCCTGGCCTCATGTCCTATCATCTCCTCATTTTTCTCCATTATTTGAATAAATCATATTTACACATGCCATTTTTGTTTGGCAACTTTTATAGCATTCTTTAAAACCCAGTTCAAATATATAATTTTAAGGACCTCCTTAAAACCTTGAGGTAATTAACTCGTTCATTTTCAGATCAGCTATAGCATTTATCTCTATCAGAGCATTTATCACAATTACAGTTAACTGTTTGCATATCTATTTCACCTATTAAGCAGGTGGTAGGGACTGTTATATTCATTGTTGTCCTCAAATAGTAGGAAGCACTGTTTGTGTTTGTCACATAAAGACTAGGAAAACTTGGTTATCTTGTCAAATTTTTGTTTTGAACACTAGACAATAATCTCAATGTGCTATTTCAACTTACAAATAGATGGCTAGGCTACCTCAGCTCCATAAGCATCATCTAGACAGCTTGCTTAAAATGTGGATTCCTAGGCAGGACTCCCAACCAACTCAATCAGTGTGGGGCAAGGCCTGGAAACCAAAGTGCTAAGTTAAACAGATGTTCTTTTCATCCTAGTTTCTATTATAAGGTAGCAAATTGAACCCAGCAATATAAACAAAAAAGTATGTAACACTTTAGTCCAGGTGGGGTTTAGTCCAGGAATGCAAGGCTAGTTCAATATTTCAAAGTCAATCAGTGTAATCTAGCATGTTAACCGTGTAAAAAAAGAAAACTACTATTTTGTGGCAAAAAGCATTTGAAAAACTGTAACACTCATTCAGGGTATAAACTCCCAGCAAGGTGGCAACAGGGAAATTTCCTGAAGTTGATAATGACAAAGAACCTATAGCCAATGCCATACTTAGCAGTGAATGACTGACTGCTTTCCTCTTAAAATCAGAAAAAAGGCAAGGATGTGGACTTTCATCACTCTTACTTAACATAATACTGGAAATCCTAGTCAGTGCAGTATATAAAGAAAAGAAATAAAAGGCATACAAATTAAAAATGAAAAAATAAAACTGGTCCTATTTACAGATGACATGATTCTCTACACAGAAAATCTCAGTCAAAATAATTATTCCTAGGACTAATTAATATAAGTGACTTCAGCAAGGTCACAGAATGTAAACTCAACATATAAAGATCAAATGTACTAGCAATGATTATGCAGAAACTGAAGTTAAAACTGAATACAATTTACAACTGCTCAAAAAATATTTGACCATAAATCCAATTAAAACAGATAAAGGATCAACATGCTGGAAACCATAAAACACTCATGAAAGAAACCAAAGACCCAGATGAATGAGAAACACTGCACTCACGCACTGGACACTTGACATAGGCAGCCATTTGTCCCCAGACTGATCAGTAGGTGTGATACAACTCCTATCAAACTTCCAGTAAGATCATTTTTTTGTACATAGACAAGTTTATTCTAAAATTATATGGAGAGAGAAAGAACTAGTAGAGCTAAAACACTTTGAAAACAAAGAATATAAAGTCAGAGGAATCACTATCCCTGATGTTAAGACTTACTGTATAAAAGCTACAGCAATCGAGGCAGTGTGGTATTGGCAAAGGGGTGAACACGTACTGCAGGGGGAGAGACTGAAAGGTGAACTGGGACTTAGTAGTAAGCCTCACACTGAATGCAAAAATTATTTCAAGTAGTTCATAGATTTAAATGTAAAATATGAAACTATAAAACAAATGAAAACAGACATGAAAATGTATAGGACATAGATCTACACAAAGTTCTTAAAACATGACACCAAACACATGATCCACAAAAGCAAAAAAATCAATTAAATGGATTTTATCAAAATGAAAGCTTCTCTAAGTTTAAGAAGATGAAAAGAAGCTATAGACTGGGAGAATATATGTAAGTACCTATCTGATTGTCTTATTTAAAATAAGGAACTCTTAAAATTCAATAGTAAAAAAATAAAATAAAATTACAAAATGGCAATAAATATAATCAGACATTTCACCAGAGGATATATGGATGACAAATAATCACATGAAATTCAAATATTATCAGTCATTAGGGTAATGTAAATAAAAACCACAGTGAGATATCACAACATACCTACAAGTACAAATTGGAAACAACATAAATGTCGTTCAATGAGTGAATCATTCAACTGATACACCGACACCATGGACTACTCCTCAGCAACAGAAAGAACTATGGATCCACACAAGGGGATTATGCTGAGTAAAACAGTCAATCTCAAAAGGTCACATGCTGCATGGTTCCATATACATAACATTTTTGAAATGGCAAAACTGTAGATACAGTGTGGTAGTGGCTTCACAAATCTAGTTATAAAACTGCATTGAATTACACCTGTGAACATGCACAGAGTACATGTAAAATAGAGAATCTGAACAAAGTCTGGATTAAGCCAATATTTATCTCTGACTGATACCACAGTTATGCAGTACGTTACCATTGTGGTAAACTGGATTAAGGGTAGACAGGATTAAGAGTAACTTAAAAAACTTAACCCATGTTTATATCAAGGTAATTTAAATTCAACTACAACTGAATGGTTTAGACATTCTCTCTTATTGTATTGATGCTATCATCAATACAACCTTGATTATCAAGAACTAAATTCATTTGTTTCTTTAAAAACTATAAATGCCCATATGCATGGTATTCACTTTAAGTGTGTTGAATATGGGAGGTTATTATTTCACTTAGAATTTAAAATATATATTCATTATATTGACAACCTATACAAACACTTTCAGTAAGCAGTATATCCTTTTTGAAATTATCTTTCCTATTGTTTTTCTGATTGTAATTTTGTTTGCAAAATCTAGTAATAGTAAAGTTGAGAGTTGTATCTCATGTCTTTAATTTCATTTTACTTTTCTAAATAAAACTCACTTTTATTGCATTTTACACATGTACTGGTCTATGACAATGCATTATTAAAAATAAAAGCTGGTCCTTCACAATAGATATTTGGAGAAACTCATCTAGGTAACAGCACATTCTTACCTGTTTGCATAATATTTCACAAAGAGTACAAATAATATCAAAAGGAGAGCTCGGGTTGAAAAGACCTAGCTTTGAACCTGTCTTGTTCAACCTTTTTGTTAATGGCTTCAAAGTGAATTACCAACGACAGGCATTTGGGGATAACACACATTTAACGTAAGACTGACCTAGATTCAAATTTTTTGTGGGATAGGGTGAATCTGTTCGCATAGAGATTCAGTTGATGAAAAATTCTGTATAAAATACCAACTCCACAAGCATAGGACATATAGAGGCTAATGCAAAGATTTAGAAAACGGCCTTGTTACTTCAAATGACTACAATTAATGAGTGAAAAGGATGATGTAGCTTTTCCTGTAACAATGTGATGCTAGACTTGAGTTAACAGACTATCCGGAACACGACAAAGCCTGTATTCTGTGCTGGTCCCACATTTAAAGGGTGATACTCAATTCAGGAAGGAAGAGAATGATGAGGTGGTAATGAATTCATGAAACACCAAATAGCTGAAAAAGGAAGTATTTATAACCTAGAATAAAGAGATGAGAGTAAAGATAAAGCTATCGTCAAAAGTTAAAAATTTTTTCTATAGTCAAGGGCTATCTTGTTATATGTGGATTCCGGAAAGCAGAAAGAAGACCAATAGTAGAACTTATGGTGACAGATTCCAACTCAACTTTCAAATAAAGTTATCTAGGAATGCCATGGGCTATTTGAGGTATGAGGTCTCCTCAGCAGATGTATTTGAGCACCACACACAACCATCATTCCTGATGTTTACATAAAGAAAACATTAGACAGAGGAACTGTACTAAGTGGGTCCCAAAGCTAATGACATTAAGACTGGACCAGGGACAACTAAAAATATTTTCTAGGCCCCATAACCAGAAAACTGTCAGTGGAATTTTGACAGGGATCTGTAATCTGCTTTTTCAAATGTGTATTCAGCAATACTGATAATGCTGGTCATCCTTTAAGAGGATGGAGGGTGTTTTCAACCCAACGCAAAGATTCTATAGTGAAGCAAAAGACGTTTGGTAGGAATAAGAGATAAGGAAGAAATACAGGTCAAAAGACGGTCTGCAAATCCAGTAAGAGGTTAAATTTAGGGTAAAGGACAGCATGGAGTCAACAGCAATACCTTTTTTAGATGATCTGTGCCTTATAAATCTAGTGGAAAAAGCTAGGCAAATAGGAAAGCTAGGAAATAGTTCATTCCCCAAGCTTTCACTAAGAATTTTCTGTGGGGTTAAAATAAATAAATATAGACAAACAAAATTAAATTTACTCTCCAAGCCTCTCAACACAATCTACTTGGGTATTCAAGGAAATCATTCATGAAACAACCAGCAACACAGTTAACGAAAAAGTGATATCAACTAGCACAGTGTTAAACCCTTACCAGAAATTACTCAGTACTTGCTGGTATTGGACAAAATTATCATTTCTACATTTAAGCACTGAAGTTCACAAGATTGAAGTTTATGTGTGACTACTTGAGGAGAATATGAGTCCTGTTAAGTTTAAATGAATATAAATCACAGCCTATTTAATTCACAAACAGGTTGTGATTTCTACTGATTTTAGTATCTATCTATATCTAAGTATATACCAGCAGGGTTGACACTGAAATCCAATTCTACAAATATACTATTTCCTATTCTTTGACCCTTATCTGAAACTGCACCTTCTCTAGACCAGAGTCTCTGCTTTTGTTCATAACTTCCCTTTCACATATACTTTTTCTGCTTTAAAGTGTCCCTCTAGCCTCTTCCCTGCTCCCTCAAATCCACAGAACCCTTTTCCATCTCATTCTCACATCACCATGACCCACATTGGTAAAAGTGCAGAAAAACGTTTCCACCACTTACAGGCATACAGGCAGACAATTAAATGTAATTCAAAGATCTCAAAAAATTCCAGTTTGACCAACTCACCTTTCCAGCTACAAAAGGCATATCACCCAAGCATAATCTATAATGTGGCTGCACGGCAAAACAGTTCCTAGAACCTTTCTGAAAGGAAAGGAAAGGAAAGAAAAACAATTTTACTCATGTGACAGTAAAGCTGACAATGACTAACCTGGAACTTCAGGCCACTGCTGGGCCACTGCCTGCTCTATCTGTCCTGGCATTACGGTCTTGGACTGCTACTCCTCGTCCACATACACCTAGCTTAGAAGAGACTAAGAAAGAAAAACGGCACATGACACAATAGCAGTTGTGGTTTAAACAGAGAAACTGTGTGTGTGTATGTTCATTTCAAGAGCAAAAGATAATGCAGTACTAAATAACAACAACTAATATATGTGCACTGATAAATATTATTGATATTGATATTGATAATGGTCAACTAATATTTTTGTAGTTCTAAAATGCTTTCATATATATAGTCTCTCTCTCCTGGTAAAAATGTAGAGGTAGATATTCCTATACCCATCTTCCCAATGAAGAAACCAAGAACGATGGCGATGTGCTCGCCTGGAGCTGCAGTGCCACACGTGCACTAGTGCTCTCCCATCGGCCGGCCACCCAGGTCAGCGCTGGCACTTTGACTTACTGGTTCTGTTTTCATACCTTTTCTGGTGGTTTTGACTTCTTTTTTTTAATTCTTCTTGCACTGGGAATACATGGAGTTGCCTTTTCTTCAAGGATAAGTCTATTTGTTTCTAGCCCCGTCTGCAACTAAGAAAAATATGACAGCCTAAAGTTAATGCTGTAAAAATAAAAGCTGTGATTTCAATTTGACATTTGCCATGTGAAAGGCTGTAAAAACCCACAGGGGTTTCTGAATGAAAGAAACACATCACAGCTATGTAACTATGCCTTGAACCAATCACACGTGCTGACTATTTAATCAATACATCTTGTTTCATCTTGAAGTGCTGTGTTATGTTTTCTTTCTTTAACCTGGAGTCCTTTAGCTCCACTATTTTTAGTTGATCTATAAATTATTATAAATTATATCTGAGTTAAAGGCAATGTATCTTACTCCAAACCAGTGCTTCACTATTTTCTTCTTTGCAAACAGGGTTGTAACAGTGCCAGACCCAAAGCACTAGAGAGCAAAATTCTTTTCACTTTAAGAACTCATACATTTACAATGTAAGGAAAAGGAAGTGGAAATTCATGCCCAAAGACCTGGAAGCTATTGCAGCAAATATTATCAAGCCCTTTTCTCTAGAAGCTTAATTAACTATATAATTTTTAAAATAATTTTGAATCCACATGGTAAAAATCCCACAAGCAATTACATGGATTTAAAGCAAGGACTGCTCTCTCCCCTAAAACAACTTTCATTTTTCCTAAAAACAGAAAAAAGCATACATGTGTGTGAATGTGAGTGTGAGTGTGTTTGTCTAGAATTCAAGCCTGCTTATGTATCAAATTGCCAGGAGTTCATGACAAACATTCAGATTGTCAGGTTCCTCTCCAGACCTCATAATTTTGAAACTTCTAGGTTGTGGAAATTTGTATTTTAGAAGTATTTTGAAGTTCCCCGGGAAACTGTGATGGAACTGGAAAAAACACTCAGAACCAATGGTTAAGTTAAAAGAAATACTGAGATCATTATTATTACTTTCTACAATGACTGCATTCTTTGGAGACAATCTATTCAGTGACAAAGAAATACAAGGACCTCTACTCTCTGAAGCATGTTCATCCCATACATCTAACAATGCTTTACATATAGGAAACTCAATAGATGTAATTCATTGAACAAGAAACAACTACTCTGGATCTATGAAGCCAGTGAGTTTGAATAATATAGCAAAAGAACAATTTTAGGTATTTTAACATCCAGCTTATTTAGTTCTTCCTGGTAGCTGTCACAATATTTGATGGCAGAGTTTTAACATTTAGAAGTGCTTTCATTCTCTTACCTCTTACTTAATCTAACATGAAGAAGATACAAAAAGAAGACCACTTTATCATAGTAAAATCCAAGCTCTGAAAATATCCTTCTCAAGGCTACACAAATTAGGGTTTGCTAGACTTGGAACTACATATCATCCCTGGCTATAGTTCTTTCACCACAATAGTGTCACTATCAGAACTCAAAACCTTTGATAATACATTATTGGTAATAACTGATTTGGTCCCAACTTTTTGCCTGCTATGCTACATAAAAAGAAAGCAGAAATATTGTAAAAGAATTCTTTAAATGCATAAAATAATGGATTTAACTTTGTATTTCATGTACAAAAGAATTCAGCACACTGTACAAAAGCACAATCCATTTACAAGTGATGAAATGAAGATGCAGTAGAATGAATGCCCTACAGTGGAACAAGCAGAGAAACCAAATACTTCGCAAATTTGTTGGTGGTCAGAAACAAAGCCACATGAGCACTTAACTCAGAAAGCACACTGAGGAGGAAAAATATACACACATACGGAGCAGAAAGTATTTGAGAAATAAAATATATCAGGATTGATAGAGAATGTTAAATCAATGAATTCTGGGAAGCACTGGATGAAACTGACAAGATAACAGTGAGGTAACAGAATGTTTATAGTCCTGCAAGCACAAGTGAGGAGTGAGCCAAGACACCTTCAGGATCCAGTCACAGCCTGAACTGGAGAGCCTCCACTTGGTATTGGAATCAGGACCTGCTCCTGATGTCAACAGTATAAAAGAAGATACATGCCAATCTTATAAAACTTAGATTCTGGAAGGTAGAAGGCAATAAATGGCAGCTATTTGAATAAATAAGCTCCTAAGGGTAAAGTGTTCAATATAAACAAAAATATTTTATTGAGTCTATAAGAAAGACTTATTGGGTACAGAAGTGTTCTATCTAGAGTGTATCTTCTAGAATGCAGTTCTGGTTGGTATGTAAATGTTTTTTGTGAATTCACCTTGCCTCACCTTTTCTACCTGGTGGCTATTACATAGGTCAAAACCCAAGAGTAGGGCAAAGCAGAACTCACTTTTCCTTATATGTAGCTTTGGTGAATTAGTATGCGTCACTGGCTAGTGAGGCAACCCACTACCTCAACTCCTGTCCAGGTGTAATGAGGCCAGCAGGGAAAAGGAAGCACCTGTAAGTAGGACATCGAATAATAGCTTTCTACACTTCTGATAGCGACCCATGTGACAAGTTTTACATGACTATGTATTAACTTATTAGGTTTACAGTTTCTGATACTTGTTAGTCTACTGATATTTTAAAAAATGCTGACTTAATTGCTCAGCTTTTACTTTCTGCCTGTAAAAAACAGATGTTTGTAATTTTCCATATTAATCTTCATCTAATAATTTATATATTGGATCATTCTCAAGTATGAATAATCTACGAACCCCACATTTAATCACCTATTTATGTAGAGAGTTATATGAAATACGAGGCACCTAAGTGCTCATGTTTTAACTTACCTGGGCTGCCTTAGCTTGCATACGTTTTCTTTCCTGTTCTTCTTCATGGAGTTTTGCTTCCAACTCTTCCATTTTTTTCTGGTGATGAAAACATTTAAAGTGACAATAGTGTATTACTGTTTAATTAGTGTAAAATTTTAGCATAGTAAATATAAGCTTGTTAGTTTAGTTTAGTGATAGCTCTGGGCTTTTGTGATTCATTATTAGTCACTGTGAGGTACCTGAACTGAATTATAGGTAAAATCTCTGGCCAAAAGACACAACTCTGTGTGAGGGCATACAGGCTACATGGAAGCTCAATCTGGAACTTTGATCTCAGTGGTATTAAATAACCCCCAAATTAATCAATTAAAACTAAAATTAGTTAAGAGAACAACTTAAATGATACAAGCCTTAGGAATACATAAAAACACTTGATCTTTCAGCATTTTAAAAAAGAACTACTTCCTCATGTACATCGATTGTAAAATGTGAACATTTTCTACAAATTTATATTTCTTCCTTTTAAAAATTCCTGCTTCTTTGCTACAAGATCAGTTATCTTTCTATAAATATTTAACATCAATAAATGATCAGTTCTACAAAAGAACCAGTATGATGCATCGGTGAGTAACAGACATTCACTGACCTCTGCTGCGGCCTGCATGGTGGTAAGTCTGTTATACTCCTGTTCAAGAAGATCCAGTTTTTCAAGTTGGCTCTGAACATGTGTTTGATCATGTTGCCGTTCTCTTTCTAGGGAAACCTGGGAAACATTAAAAACAGCATGATAATTTGACAAAAAAATAACAGAGTATAACTTAGAATATGCCTTGCTAATTACCAGGCCTTTCATAGAACTACTTAGATATAGCGGAGGAATTCTGGTTAACAATATTAAGATGAAACCATGGTACATGTCAATAAATAAAGTGGAATATGATTCTAAATATAAACTATTTTAACACGTTTCATAACTACTGTAACATATAAGTTATCCACATGCACACACAATACTTTTAATTAGCATGGTTCTCTAAATCTACTTTAAGGCAATAATTATGGTTTTGCTATCTATCATTTACACCTCCTTTGAATTCTGTGAAAACATCCATTATTATTATTATTATTGAGGTTTAGGGTCAAGGATCTTAAAAGACTGCCACCTATTAGATTTAAGAACTAACAGCCATAGGGTAAACACACATGAATAAAAGGTGGAAATATGCTAAACTGAGGTCTGCTGGTAAAAAGCAAAAACACTAAGTACCTCTACTTGTAAAAAGTGTCTCTTCATATAAAAGTCTATAGCAGAAGTATCATACTAACAGAAATCTGAATGTGATAAAGTAACATAAAGCAATAATTTTCTCAGAAATTTGTGTGAACTCTTAATTCCCTCCTATCCATCTTAATGGGTAGTTACTGATCTTAAAAGAATACATTAAGTTAAAAATTGGCACAGATCATGTTATTTCCAACACTGGAAACATTCTTATAAAATGGGCTATTTAAAATTTAATGATGAATCAGGGCTTTAATTATAATTCAAAGACATCTATTATATATGTCTGATAGATATAGTAGTCAAGAAATTTTACTGTTGTCTTACAGATGCTTTCTAACCAGAGGACTGGAATATCCCAATGAAGAGAATCACTCACTGTTATTAGTGTATTTAATATTTTGCATTTCCAATCATGTGGCAGACTAAACTGACCACCCCCTCTTTTCTACCCCATCTATCATATGGAAGTGTCAGACAGCACAGCAATAATAAAAAGTAGATTATTACATAGCAAGTTTGGAAGAAAGGGAAATCTCCAGATGCAAAAAAGATAAAGGAACTCAAAAGCAAGGGAAGGCTTACTAAAGCCAAATGTCACAAGAGGCAAGCAATACCGAGGCTTTGGTGCATGAGATATACAAGAAACATGACCCAAATCTCAGGCAATGTGTGCCATCTGCATAATGCAAGAAGCCCAAGCCAGTAAGTTAACATGAATCTGAACCAGAACCCATCAAGCCTCAGCAAAGGCAAATCAAAACTGCCTCATTGGAATTCCCAAGACAAACAAATCACAAGAATACGAGCTTACCTTAAAAAAAAAAAGAAAAAAAGAAAAAAAGAAAAAAAGGATAAACAGATAGACAGACAGGAGTCCCCACAGGGGATGGAGAGAACACCATAAAGGAGAGTCGCAGGTGCACTGAAAGTGTGGACAGACACTGGGAAAATTAGGACCTAAATGGACGTGAGAACTGCTGATAGTGTTCAAAGAGATAAAAGGAAGGAATAAAAACCAAAGAAACAGTACATTAAAGAAACAATAAAAATAGGTGTGCTGAAGACCCAACTGGACATAAATATGGTCACTGAAATAAATTCAGTGGCACAGTAAAAACGAATACATGAGATAATTACTGAAATATTTTCTTAAATATCATGTAATTATTTAAATATATAAAGCCTACTATCTCCAACTTTGACAGCTGTTGAAGTAGAAAGAATATAATTTCTCTTTCACATTGCAGAGCATCTAGGAAAATGTTAAGCATATGAACATTCAAATTTTGCATAATAAAGTTAAGATGCTCAGAAACTGTATTCATGAATTGAAAAACCTAGATTCATAATAGAAAAGGAGATATTGTTTATATATACATTCCAGACTGTTGCAGATGTCTTCTCACAAATGTGCAGGTTACTTAAAACCACCTCTGGTGTGACAAAACAAAGTATTTTTGTTACTTTGGAGCTTTTTCAAGTATAAAGAACACTCAAATCTGCTATGACACTTGAGTCTAAATAAATTCAAGTGGTAGAGAGGTACATAATATGATTATTTATACTTTCTGTAATGTAGACTCATAGAAGTTAACATGACTTAAAAGGATTACACAATTTATTATATAGTATTTTTCCAATTTAAGTAAAACTATATGAAATACAACAATAACCATGAAGAAGGCCAATCAAATCTTGAGACACCATAACTGATCCCAAGTAATTTCAGTTGTGGGCTTTTATATTGTTCAAGAGCAGAAGGCACCAAAACCGTGTGAAGAGGATATAGCAGCGTGTGAGGATCTCCCAAAAGGAAACCTTTCTTAACAGCTATGCTGAAAATGCAAGGTACAATTTTCTCAAAGCTTATGTGAGCAGAACACACAAGTAGTTTTTCAAAATGAACTATGGGTACTACTACCACTGGTTACTTTAAGGTTAAAAAGGAAAGTGGTTATTTTAACAGCACCATTAGCTATCACTGAGAAAAAAAGGTCTGTGTCAATTTTCCTCAGATCCGTTTCTGAGAATGGATCTGTGGAGCGTGAGATGCCATACCTGTTTCTCTAAGACAGATGTCCTTTCCATTTCTGCATGCTTTACCATCTTACGCATGTACTCCAACTGTTTTTCTAAAAGAGTACATTTATTTTCTGCAGCTGACAACTGAGATGCCAGTTCTAAAAAGAATACATAAGGCAGAAATTAGCTCCCTCACAGAATAGCTTTGTAACAGGAATTAAATCTACTGTGTATATGATAAATGTTTTCTAGTAGGTCTAAAGCCTTCTCAGATGATCTAAGTCATTCTCTTTCTCCTTCTCTCTGCTAGTCCCTATCTGCCTTGAATTCAGTCAGTAAATACAGTGCTTGACTTTTAACACTTGCTGCTCAAAATGCACATGAGTATAACACAATTTTATACTGCTCAAAGACACTGACAACGAGAAAATGCTAGCATGGAATTTTAGAGTAATCTTACAAAACTCATTTTGATAGTGTTTCATTTCCTTCATAATTAAACAGACCTTGATTGTGCTTTGATTCCTCATGCTTTGAATTCTCCCTTTTTTGTATCTGTTCATCCAATACTTTTTTATATTCAGTTGTTTCTCTAGACAAGGTTTTAACACTTTCTTCTGCCTGAATCCTTTCAAGTTCTAAGCGTCGAATCTTATCTTGAAGATTCTTCAAAGCAGAAAATATGGCTGCCAAATACAAACATGGACAATGTAAGATAACACTATATACGGAGAAGGTTCATGGTAAAGGAATAACCTCATCTAAATAAAAAAACTGATAGTTGGGTCCAGTGGTCAGTTACTCTTTGAAACAATAAAATGTTATTTATCATCACATAATTGTTTTTTAAAAATACATGTAAAGACATCTTCTGAGTAAATTCACATAACTGTCTCAAAATACATTATGATGATGCAAAAGCAATGATGGGTAAAACTGACAATTTAAGCACAAATCAAGGCAGTGGCACTAAACTGTAATTCTGGGTATTGTACCCTTCACGGTAGATCACACACTCCCAATAAGGAGAACAAAGCTCCTTGCCTGTTGTCCTTGATGCATCAGTAAGAATCATCACCTCAAACGATGAAATCATCTCAAACCCTGAGTACACAACTACTTCATGCTGTGTGACAGAGTGGGGAGGACACTCACAAGAAGTATGCACGAAAGGATAATGGTCTCGAAGTACATGTATAAACATTTGCATTGTGAGCTCAACTGAAACCATCTCCTTCAAAGGAACACCATTTTCATTTGAAAGAACTTTTGATAAACTTATAGCTATTCAGTCTTAGGTATTCAGCAGTCATTTTCTCAAAAATGAATGACATGAGCCTGTCACTTCAAAGATCTGATAGTAATTGTTGCCAATGATGAAATTCAAATGAAACCAGAATTCTAAAAAAAATATTACCTATGGTGTGAGTTGTATCTAGCATCCCAACAGAAAGTTTTTTTCTACTGGAGGCTAACAAAATAATTTTTTTATATTGCATAATGAAACCTATCAAATTTTGCAAGTGTGTAAAGTCAATACAATAAAAACCATGCATGGGTAAAAGAATCATTGCCAAGTTCAAGACAGACAAATAGATTTCAATGTAATACTATGCCAAAAAAAAAAAAAAAAAGTTTACACAGCAGGCCTGAACTTTGGCTGCCTCTGGAAACTGGCTTTTGGAATGTTCCCTGCATTTCTAGTTAAGGTTGCTTTGTATGACTATGGCACCAAATCTTGCTGCTTAAGTCACCCAAGACAGTGCCAACAATGTGTTTTATGGCGAATATTTTTTACTGGCTGCACATGCACAAAGTACTTGAGTCACCATCTCCAAATAAGGACCCTGGTCCCTGAGCCTTAGGTGGGTCTTCCTGGGCAGAAACACTGCATGCACAACATACAGTTCATTGCTGGAGGAGGAGTGTATTTCTGTGTGAACTCTATGGCAGAGAACTCTGAAGCCTGTACTTGGACTTCTCCAGATTCCACTGTAATAAATCACACAGCCGAAATTATGAAGGCTTTTGAATCTGTGGGTACTTCTAGTGGTCCTGAGATGAGAGTATGAAAATATACTGATTTCTCAGATTCCACATTGCAACTAAATTTTAAGAAACTACCATTTGTCAAGTTTTGCTGTAATATCAAAGAATGTTTACAAATTGATAGAAAGACTATTAAAATATTACTTCTTTTCCAACTACATAGCTGTATATGGCCAGGTTTTTTTCCACATACTTCAAATTTATCACATGGAATGCAAAAGTGGATGAGATAGCCAGACTTAAGAGAAAAAGAGTCTACACATATCAAGAGAATCAGAAATGAGAAAGGAAAAATCAGGACAGACTACACAGAAATATGAAAAATTATAAAAGAATACTACAAAAATCTATATGCTAACAAACTTCAAAACCTAGAAGAAATGGACAACTTCCTAGAAAAATACAACCTTCCAAGACTGACAAGGAAGAAACAGAAAATTTAAACAGACCAATTACCAGCAACGAAATTGAATCGGTAATCAAAACACTACCCAAGAACAAAACACCAGGACCAGATGGATTCACTGCTGAATTTTATCAGACATATAGCGAAGACATAATACCCATTCTGCTTAAAGTTTTCCAAAAAATAGAAGAGGAGGGAGTACTTCCAAACTCATTCTATAAAGCCGCTATCACTCTAATACCAAAACGAGGCAAAGAACAGACCAAAAAAGAAAATTTTCGACCAATATCGCTGATGAACAGAGATGCAAAAATACTCAACAAAATATTAGCAAACCAAATTCAAAAATACATCAAGAGGATCATACACCATGATCAAGTGGGATTCATCTCAGGGATGCAAGGATGGTACAACATTTGAAAATCCATCAACATCATCCACCACATCAACAAAAAGAAGGACAAAAACCACATAATCATTTCCACAGATGCTGAAAAAGAATTCAACAAAATTCAACATCCATTCATGATAAAAACTCTCAACAAAGGGGGTATACAGGGCAAGTACCTCAACATAATAAAGGACATATATCACAAATCCACAGCCAACATCAAACTTAACAGTGAGAAGCTGAAAGCTTTTCCTCTAAGATTGGGAACAAGACAGGGATGCCCACTCTCCCCACTGTTATTCAATATAATACTAGAGGTCCTAGCCATGGCAATTAGACAACACAAAGAAATACAAGGCATCCAGACTGGTAAAGAGGAAGTCAAACTGTCACTATTTGCAGATGACATGATATTGTAAATAAAAAACCCTAAAGACTCCATTCCAAAACTACCAGAATATCTGAATTCAGCAAAGTTGCAGGATACAAAATTAATACACAGAAATCTGTTGCTTTCCTATACACTAATGATGAGCTAGCAGAAAGAGAAATCGGGAAAACAATTCCATTCACAATTGCACCAAAAAGAATAAAATACCTAGGAATAAACCTAACCGAGGAAGTGAAAGACCTATACCCTGAAAACTACAAGACACTCTTAAGAGAAATGGAAGAGGACACTAAAAAATAGAAACTCATTCTATGCTCTTGGCTAGGAAGAATTAATATTGTCAAAATGGCCATTCTGCCTAAAGCAATCTACAGGTTCAATGCAACGTCTATCAAAATACCAACAACATTCTTTAACGAACTGGAACAAATAGTTTTAAAATTCATATGGAACCACAAAAGACCTTGAATAGCCCAAGCAATCCTGAGAAAGAAGAATAAAGCAGGGGGCATCTTGCTTCCCAACTTCAAGCTCTACTACAAAGCCACAGTAATCAAGACAATTTGGTACTGGCACAAGAACAGACCCACAGACCAGTGGAACAGAACAGAGAGTCCAGATATTAACCCAAACATATATGGTCAATTATTACATGATACAGGAGCCATGGGCATACAATGGGGAAATGACAGCTAGTGTTGGCAAAGTTGGACAGCTACATGTAAGAGAATGAAACTGAATCATTCTCTAACCCCATACACAAAAGTAAATTCAAAATGGATCAAAGACCTGAATATAAGTCATGAAACCATAAAACTCTTGGAGGAAAACAGGCAAAAATGTCTTGGACATAAACATGACTTCCTCATGAACATATCTCCCCAGGCAAGGGAAAAATGAACAAGTGGGACTATATCAAGCTGAAAAGCTTCTGTACAGCAAAGGACACCACCAAGAAAACAAAAAGGCATCCTACAGTATGGGAGAATATATTCATAAATGACATATCCGATAAAGGGTTGACATCCAAAATATATAAAGAACTCATGCACCTCAACAAACAAAAAGCAAATAATCCAATTAAAAAATGGGCAGAAGAGCTGAACAGACAGTTCTCCAAAGAAGAAATTCAGCTAGCCAACAGACACATGAAAAGATGCTCCACATCGCTAGTCATCAGAGAAATGCAAATTAAAACCACAATGAGATATCACCTCACACCAGTAAGGATGGCTACCATCCAAAAGACAAACAACAAGAAATGTTGGCGAGGTTGTGGAGAAAAGGGAACCTTCCTACACTGCTGGTGGGAATGTAAATTAGTTCAACCATTGTGGAAAGCAGTATGGAGGTGCATCAAAA